CATTATGTTTAACACCCCTGATTTAGTTGAAATCAGTGGGCTATATAGTAAACCAGCAAAAGCATGCTTTTAGTGCTATTTTCATCATTATTGTTCCCGTGTAGAAGTTACAGATGACCTTGAATTTGGTTATTTATTTACCTGTTTACTTTGTAAGACCTTAATTGCAGCGCCGGCCCTTTAAGAGAGTCCTGGTTTCATGAATGAAACGCAGCCATTCATAAAAAACACCGGGGGCCGGGCCACAGAGCAGCCTCGATGACGATTGGCTCGCCTTCTGACTGACTCTGAGTTCCAGCCAATGGCAGGGCAGGAGATCGCTCGTTTTAGCCGCAGCTATCACAGTCCTTCATTGAGAAAAATCCACAGCCGAGTGATTAATCGAGGTGCTGCATGGGATGTAGGGGAGGAAATCTGCGACGAGTTCTGTTTTCACACTGCCAAGAAACTTCACTTACCAAGTGAGTCTTCTTCTTTTTGTTTTTATCTTACCGCTTTAGTAAAAGCTGGCGCCTGCTTGCCTTTAATTACATAAACACCAGATGCATGGTCGCGATTTTTTTTCCTTTGCTACAGGCTCCGAGGGGAGCACATAGGCGTTCAGAGGCTAACGCCATTTTCTTAAAAATCTAACTCAGTGCTGCGTTTATTCCCCCGCGACCGCCTGCCTGCACTGCGGCATTTCCGTCTGCAGCAGCTTTTTTCAGCTTGTTGGCGCCGGGAATCCTTCACTGTTTGTCTGTGGCGAAATTTCTCAATGGTGAGCGGGTGTCTCCCCCCCCCTCCTCATCCTCCTTCTCCTGCCTCAGTCAGTATCGTGTTTCACTTCATTGAGAAAAACAAGGAGGACTCAACGAGCGTCACGCGAAACTCCATTCACAAATCTTTCACTTTAAGCGAGGATTTGTTGCTAACGTTAGCGGAGTTTGTTGGCGTGATTTCTCCTCTGTGGTGTTTGGAGTCACTGAAGCAAAGCCGAGTGACACCCCCCTCACATTAAATCGTTTGTGGAGGTTTCTTTAACCGAAGACGAGACAAAACGTTACGCAACGTCGGGGGCTGACCTTTTTATCTCTTGAAATAGTTTTTCACTGTTTACTTTTGCCCCATATTTCGCGAGCTTTAGTTGGACTCTTGAGCAGTTTGAGCCAGGTCAATACCCCCCTTTTTTGTTTGAAGAAACATTAAAAATGTAGAAATTTACAAAGCTTTGAAATCTGGTGTAGTTAAGAGGTGCAAAACATTGTTAAAATAATGTCCCATATCTTTATCGCACATATACGTTTATCGGCTACTTAAGGTACACCAAGAAACCAGTTTGAGGTGATCTGAGCTTTATGACGTGGTGTTGTTCTGCTGGATGGGTACACTACGGTCATAATGGGATGGGTATGGCCAGCAATAAAGCTCAGGTAGAGTGTGGCATTTAACAATGCTCAGCTGGCACAAACTGCAGCATTACAACCAGTTACAGGTGGTAGCAAGGCGAAATGGATCCATGCTTTCGTCATCTGAATGTCACAGAAGAAATCAGGCAGCCTTTTTTTCCCCCTCTTGTCTAATTTTGGTTAACCTGTGCAGATTTTAGCCTCTGTTTCCTGGTGACAGGAGTGTCACTCGCTGTGGTCTTCTGCTGCTGTTGCCTGTCTGCTTCACGGTTTGAGGTGTTGTGCATTCAGAGATGCTCTTCTGGTTGTACCAAGTGGTTATCATTCACCTCTGATCTCCAGCATAAACAGCCTTAGTAAACTCTAGAGGCGATTGTGTGGGGAAACCCAACAGTTCAGCAGTTTCTGATATACTCGCACCAACAACCACGCCACATTCAAAGCCACCTAACTTCCATTTCTTCCCCATTCTAATGCTCACTTTGAACTTCAGCTGGTCACCTTGACTGTGCCTAAATGCACTCAGTTGCAGCAATATGATTAGGTATTGGCATTATTAGCTGAACAAGTGGTTTGTTTGTTTTTTGTTATTGTTTTTTTAATGTTTCTTCTTTAATCCTAGCTCTTGGCAAGCAAAGTGTCAAACCATTTTAATTCCTATCTTTTCAAACATAGCATTGCCATTCTTTGTACATATGCTTCTCTGTACGTCATTAAAGTTGGCACGGCACAGCCAAAGGAAAAGACGTCATGTTTTATTTGACTATTCAGCTGCTTTCTTTTCATTGCCTCAAATCAGCCTTTGAAGAGCGATTCCTCCCGCAGCTTCACGTCAGTTTATTCATGTCAGATTTGCGTGCTGCAGATTGCATAATTCTTTCTGTGACAACGGGGCTTTTATAGCCACTGTAAACAAACATGCCACGTCATGTGAAAGGGATGATGGTAGTATGGATGGAGGGGCTAGTCCTGTAGGGGGAAAAAAGACTACGATAGACTTAGATTTAGTCTGCTTAATGACTCCAGTATGTTAAAGTATATCACTTCCTCACTGCTCATCCCAGGGTGAAGACTCCTGCAACATGGAGGCCTTTTATGATCAGCAGGTTCCCTTTGTGGTCCCTGAGAGTGTGAGTTTGAAACATTATGATTTTATATTCTTATCTTTTTGTCTTGATGCATGTGTGCTGAGTTTCATTCCTTTGCCCGTTGCTGCAGAAATGTCACACACAGGAAGCAGCGAAGTGTCTCAGCGATAGGAAGAGGAAGTTCATGGACACCGAGCTGGCTCAGGACACAGAAGGTACATATAAAACTCAGACTGACTATGAAACTTCAGTTAACTTCTTGTGAGTGCCAGGATAACATCTGTCTGCTGGATACAAACAATGTGGGGAGAAATTATATTCATAAATTTGCTAATAGGATTATTTTTTCCCCTCCGCTGTTCTTTCAAGTGCCCCTCGTGGTCTTTGGTATTTCTTTAATAGGTCATACTTCTCTGACAATCTTCTATAGGCCATTTGTTGTCATTAATTACATGTGAAATGTCAAATAATTTCGCCCACACACATTCTAACAAATGAATGTGAAACCATCTTCCAGAGCTATTCCAAGACCTGATTCAGCTCCAAGAAATATGGATCGCTGAAGGTGAGCATCCCACATTATACAAATGATGTGTGATAGTTGATGAGAGGGGTCCTTAAACGGCATGTCTTTCCCTCCCGCTCAGCTCAAGCTACCGATGACGAGCAGTTTGTCCCGGATTTCCAGTCCAATAACTGTGAGTACCTGCTTCTTCTTGGATGTTTGGAGAGATCGCGATTTCAGGTTTTAGCAGCGGTGCACACTATTTATGCACGAGAGTATTTTTGTGAGAGCTTTATGATGGGTCTGGAGCGTTGGAAGTTGGTCTTTAACGTGGAGTTGGACATAAGAGGGGTGGCACGTGTGATCACATTGCACTGTCAGCTGTTGGCTCTCATTTAAGATCTGTGCAGCTTCCTGCTCTTTCATGGCAAATGGATAAACTCTGCTGAACTACCAGATTGTGACTCGTGATCTCAAAGGTCACTGGTGTAAAACCAGTTGTTTACAGTGCTCGCATTCGCTGGTGTTTCCACTCACCTTGGAGCTTTGCCAGTTAAATGATAGTCGTCATGTACCAGAGGAAATGAGGTGAGATAAAAAAAAAAAGTACTGTACTTAAAAGTGTTACAGATAAGGCAGGCGGTGAGGAAATGGTGCGTTTAGTGCCAAACACGTATTGCATAATACTTATTGCTGCCGTAATCATAGCTGCTTCAACACAACGACTCCCCGTGCGGACAATGAAGCTGACGGAGACCGTGTCGTGGATGGAAACATTAGCGGCCTGGCGTCATCGGTGCAGCATACTGATGACAATCTCTACAGATTCCTGGAAAGCTCAGATCAGATAGGGGTAGGCTTCCTTTCTTTCACTGACGCAGGAGTGGGGAGCAAACGCTGAAAGGGATGATAAAGGAAAAACTTTACGCTAAATGGCAAGCCTGCATTGCAAACTGGAAGAGTGCAACTTAAAAACGTGCAGAGCTTGTCTATTTAATGCAAGGTGTCATTGCTACTAAATTATCAACATGAGCAGATAAGAGTTACGAGGGAAATATTCAGGGTCTGAAACGCTGGCAGTAAACTCTCATTTGGATCTGAAGCCGTTCTGCCACACCGGCAGGCAAATGTTTCCACCAAAGCTGCCATTTAATAGGTCTCGAGTGTGTTTTGGTATTGGAAGTGCTGCTTCAACAAACACATTATTTTCCCAGCCAGTGTTCCCAGAGGTAATGTTGTGTAATCCTAACTGTCTAACCATTACGCTCACCAGGGATCCAACACTAGGCAGTTGGAGGCAAATTAGGAGTGTGAGACTTGTGTAACTGTGCAAAAGAT